TATGCTTTGCTTGCGGTCGGGTTTTCGATGATGAGATAACAATGCGAAATCATGTGAACGAAATTCATCTTTCTAACAAGGTTGCATTTCTTTTCGTATATTTGACCTTTCTAAACTTTTTAAAGGATAGAGAAATTACGGAGGGTAGTTTTTTATTAATGAGTTAAGGGCATAGAATGAGCGGTGCTGAAAAAAATAGCTATATCTTTTCTGTTGAAGAGATTTTTTTTTAGGACTACATTTTCAAATGTAGTTACTGCTACAGACGTTTCAAAATGAAACATCATTTGCAACGCCATGAACGCACACATGATTTATCACTTGTGCATATTTGTAATCGATGCTCTTCATCATTTCGGTTAGCTTTTTAGGAATCTACTACCTTTGATACTCGAAGGTTCAGAAAGTAGAAAGAAATTTATAGCTCAGAAGCTTCTATGTATTGTTTCAGAAATTTACTCAATTACAAAAGTGAATATTTTGTAGAAACATGTTTTCCATCAGCAGAACTGTCGTTCTATTCGATATGATCGGTTTATATTATACGACACTGCTATGGCAGTGTATTAGATACTGCAATAAAATGTATCTTCCGCTTCTGTTATCATTATATATCAGGGTGTTTCGATGGAAGCTTCTTTATGAACGTTGAGAAGTGTAGAAGTAAAGTGAATGAATTTAGGAGCTTCGAATCATTAGCTGCTCATAGAAGCAGAGCTCATGGAATCGATGAGAACGGTGAAAAAATTGTAAATTTGAAATACAATTGTAATAAATGCAAACATAAGTTTGGAACTTTTATCGAATTAAATGTAAGTCCTTTGCTAACAGTTATTTTGATCCTTTCAGTAAATTAATTTTGGTATAATGGATAGCTGAAATATGTTAAAGGTTTCTTTTTTGTAATGATGGAGTGATTTTTTCAACTATAAATTCAGAAGTAGGAAAAATGAAGCCGAGTTATGGCTTCAATTTTCTTCGAGTCTTTTTACTTTAAATATATGCTATTTGTAGTGCTTAAACCATTTTAGAGGCATAAATATTTTTGTTTGAACGAATCTCGTGTTAAACAGCCAAAAAAAGTCAGTGGTGCTTCTCCTTCTTCATCCACTAGTTCAATATTTTCTATGTCCTCACGACCGAAAGTTGGTAGGTAATTTGTTTTATATTTGAATGGTTTTTTTTTTTTCTCATTGAACATGCACTTCTGTTTTGTTTCTACTTTATTATAAACAATTTTAGATAAAACATGCAGAATATGCAGTAAGAAGTTCGCATCGCGACAGTCATTGATACGACATATGGGTCGAATTCATCCAGAAGAAAGAATTGATGAAATTAAACAATATGAAGTAGTGCAATCGGTAAGTTTATTTTATTTATTCAACTTGAAGTTATTGATAGATTAATCCACTCCAGTCCATTATTAAATTTTGTTTTTTGACTGCCATTGATTAATTGCTAATTAAGCTTCATTCTGACTAGAATAGGCTGATGTTATATATGTTCTATTACTTTTTTTTTTTCAGCCAGATCTTCCATTTGCTTGTAATATTTGTTCGAAACGTTTTACGACCAGAACACTAATGTTAGTTCATCGTAAGCGACATGGGGGAAGGAATTTTGCCTGTGAATTATGTGAGAAGGCATATCCATTAGCAAGTGAATTACGAAAGCATATCAAGCGTGTACATGGAGATTCTTCGGAGAGTTACAGTAAGTTTCAGATATCTAATAACTTGTGTAACATTGTGTTTCTGAAATACTTCCATATAATAATGTTTATGAACTATGTTATTATTCTTAATTCAAATTGTATTTCTTTATTCATTTACCGGAAACTTAGCCATCAAATCTCGAACCACTGGTTCACTTTCTTTTCTACTTCTTTCGTTTATTTAATTTAGGAACACTTTAAAACATTAAGTTTTAGCGGCATCAAAAGGTTCGCGTGCAGAATTTAACGATGCATATGTCGTCGATATGCAAAATCCAGGTATTGAACAACCAGTGCCGGCAGAGCAGAGCAGTAAGTGTGATTATGAAGATCTTACCGATTTCAGTGTTATGTAATTTTCTACCGATTACATCTATCCACTTGATCATTCTATAAATTGTCCAATAAAATCTATAAATTGCCTAAAATGGCATTTTATCACACGGAAGCATATTTCCAGAAAACAATACTTATTTACGCTCTTAATTTTTCTGTTTACTTAGGAAATTTGTTCTTACAATTATTATTGTAGTATACATGATGGGAACCATGCTGGTAATTCTTCTAACATATTTAATATCAAACATTATATATATTATTTTTCATTTTGTTTATGTATGTATTATTAACAAGCAATTTTCATCACTGTAAAGTCTTGAAAACTCAAATAGATGCATGTCAAAATCGATTTTTTGTAGTAATCGATGCAGTTAATTAGACTTTTAATTCCACTGTACTTATTTTATTATTAATCCATTCATTAATAAAATGTTTTATCTATAAGAGATTTCATATAAACACATTCTTTTATCAAAATTAACAAATACTTAGTAATATCACGTTAATAGTAGTATCACAATTTTTAAGTTTCATCGAAATATCGTTTGTATTTCAAACTGCCACATTTCATGTCCGGTTTTTCGATATAGTTTTGTTTTTTTTTTTTCAAATTTACGATGATCCTAGAAACTTTTTGAAGTCAAGTTTCTGCAGAATTTCTAAATTCTTTGTGAAAATTTGCATAAAGTGCTTTCTGTTGGTGCTTAGTGTCAAGTAATAGTTTAGAAAAACTTTAAATTTACACAATGAGAAGCTCAGTCATATTTTGTTTTTTCGACTTATTTTTGGATTTGACAGGTCAGATGTCACAAATATCCCTACTTGCAGATTATCTCAGTTTACTATGGAGCATTTAGAGATAGATTCTTTTAACTTTCCATGATAAATGCATCTTCTATCTAGTGATTTAGCGCACTTTAGAATAATTATTTAATCTGAAATTGATCAAAAGGCAACGATTTTAACGGTCATTTTAAAGAAAAGGAATGAAGGGGCAGATGAACTTATTGGACTGTAACATACAAGATATACAGATACAGTGTATACTATTTTTAATGAGGCAGTTTCATTGTACTGTATGACAATTTTTGAATCTTTTTTAAAATTCGAAATTGTTTATTTCTCCGTTATATGTCGATCCGATTGATCGATCGCTTATTGACTTTTCACTCAAATTTCTGCAGATCTCTTCACTTTAATACCCTGTTTTGGTCGTTCTTATTAGTCGTTGCAATTTTTTGAAATCTTAAGTTTTGTTTACAGTTTATGCTTAATTTAATTATTGCAAGTCGTACAGAAAAGTGATAAAAGGAATTAACAAGAACAAAAGGTTTGATTTGGGTTGACCTAGCACAGCAGTGATAATCTAGGTCGCCGTACTGTTAACACCAAATGTCACTATCTGCTGACGGTGCAAGGCAACCAGTGTCATCAACAGTAGCAGAGCCGATAACGATAGCAACATCAGAATATATCGATAAATCAAGATCTAATACTGCCGAAGATATCATCACCACAACAATATTATAACCTACCGCGTCATTTCCAGGTAGCTTCATATTCATCACAACTGCGAAATTCACCGGATATAACTTTACAGAAACATCGGACTGTATTTTAGAAAAGGTATTTTTTAATGCTTTATTTAAACTCATTCTTTTAATTCAATCTTTAAAATTTTCTAAAATATTATTGATTTCTATTTCGCTGCCTCAAAACTGTTTGTTGTTCAAATGAAGAAGTACTAATGCGTGATCGAATAGATTGAATAAGTTTAAAATACGGATAATATAATTGGATTATCTCTTATCAACTTTATTACCCTAAACTTACCACGGACAGATTATTGTGTAGCGAATTTAGGCAGGTTTTGAGTTTTAAGTAAAAATTAAATTACAGCATCAATTTTATTCAGTGAAGCTGAATAAAAGGATATTATAACCATAAGTTTCAATAATTTATAAAGTTATAAAAATAATTTACGACAGGCAAAATTAAATTCTAAAAGCGGTGTAAAGGTCAACTTATCACAATTTGAAAAAAGGACGAGGTCTGCTCATCTAAGAAAGCCGTAAAGCAAGTGAAACTCGAAAAAATACTTCAACCGTTACTAAAGAATTCGTAATATTTTAATTAATATTTTAACTTATCTTTAAAGATTTTGACTTAAATTATTTTTATTGTTCTTTCATTTTTTGAAAAAGGAAAATTTTAATTTGAAAAAGCAATTTAAAAAAATCAAAAGACAACGAATTAATATATAATAAACTTAAAAATAACAAATTAAAAGGCAACATAGAACTCAAGTGGAATAAAGAAGCAGAGAATTAATTGAAAAATTCGGAAAAGTCTGTACGCGACAAGATCAGCACCTTTAATAACAGGTTCATTTCTTGCTTCAGTATATTCGTTTCGTACTTATTAATTGTCGATCATCTTGACTCAAGGTTGACTTACATGAATTGCTTAAAGTGTTGTTGGGCTAAATATTTAGGTTCCTTATTAATATCATTCTAATAGTATTCTACATTATGTGTTTATCATTTAAAGAAGAGTAGTATAGTTTCCTCATTTATTTTTCAGGCCTAGAAATTGTTCGTTTTTATTTATAGCATGATATTTTTCTGAAATTTTTCCATCTTAATATGATTAATTAAAATTTTTTTGGACATAATCTAACTTTTTTAGACATCATTCACTGTATAAACTATTTTATAACTCTGTACTAATACGAGGTGAGACGACTGACCCGCTGGTTGAACTTGTTCAAGCGATATGAAACAGAACGAAGGAAAAGAAAAGTTGCTTATTTGATGAATCAATGTTATTTAACATAATCTTTTAGTTTTAATTGAAAATATCTTTTATTCGTTCAATTGTGAAAACAGGATTAGAGATTAGCAAAGTAAAAAAGTACTTTCCATAAATGAAAAGGAATTACAGCATGGGACAATCTTTCCAATTAGCATTGACTATGCGACAACGCCTCTATCACTTCGTTACCGGTCTACAAATTGTCTGTAGTTTTATATCATTATTGATATTATGCATTGCACTACCTGTTTTGTATAATAATGTTCAAACAACAATTGATTATGTCGATAGTGGAATGCAATTCTGTGAAGTAAATTATCCAACTTCACCTTTTAAACTTAAAAAATTAAAGAATTAATTGCAAATTTTAAAAAATTTTAGGTAATTGAAGTGTTAAAGTTTTTCTATATTTGGTTTCAAAAATTTTCTTGACCTATTTGTTCTAAATTACAGCATTCAAACGAAGAAGCACTATTGGAAGTAGAACGAGGGAAATCTTATATTGCTTCAAATAGGACAAAACGTCAAACTTATGACCAGAGCGATGATTTTCAGGTTATTTTTATGATCCATCCGGATTCAATAATCCTTAAACGTACTGATAACTCTCTTTTTTTGGTTAACTATTAGAATATTAATTCTGTTTTCTTTTTTTACAGACCTTCAATCCGTTCCACAGAAATTCTATGCTGGATGCAGTGACCGGCATACCAATCGAAACGGAATGTCCAGGTTGCTGCATTCCTGGCCCTCCAGGACCACGTGGTCCAGGGGGCACACCCGGCAAACCTGGATCTCCAGGACCAGCAGGAAAACCTGGAATTCCTGGTACAACTCCGAACCAAACATGCCCGATGCAAATAAATCGACCACCTCCACCATGTCGTCCGTGTCCTAAAGGTCCTCCGGGCATTAAGGGGTGGCCTGGATTTCCAGGCGATCCGGGTCCAGTTGGAGAACCTGGAGCAAGAGGTAATTTGTTATTCTGAGTTCTGATTTATGCTTTCTCTTAATTGTTTGCTTGCTTCATTTTTAAATAGTTCAGGTAAAGATGGCAAAGACGGTGAGCCAGGTGAGCCGGGACCACAAGGTCCGCCAGGTTTTCAAGGTGGCCCTGGCGTACCAGGTGAAAAAGGTCCAACACCAGAAAGTGAACTTAAGGAAGGCCCGCCTGGAGACCCAGGGCCAGTTGGACCCGTTGGTGCTCCTGGTCTTCCAGGACTACCTGGTCGAAATGGAATGACAGGCTAGTTTATTTTTCTTTCATAAAAAGATCTCTCATTATCTAAATTGTGTCTAAAACAAATTTTAAAATGTTAATTCTAGGGCCACAAGGGGAACGTGGATGGCCAGGTTTACCAGGCGAGCCAGGTGAACCCGGATATCCAGGTCCGGAAGGTCCGGCAGGTGAACAAGGACCTCCAGGTAAACTTGTCTAAATTGCAAACAAATTAAAAAATAAGTAGATTGTAAGTAAATAGGTCGTAAACAAATGTTTCAATATTACTCAAATAATAATCATCACAGTGGAAACAGCTTTTTCTGTTAATTTCTAATCTATTTATTACGACATATTATTTCACTCATCCCTCTTGTAAAACTAATTTCAGGAGAACCGGGAATATGCGTTTGTCAGAATGTTGATTCAATTGTTCTCGTGAATCCATCTGCATCTCAACCTCGGATAGCAGAACGTGTGCAAGCAAATTAATTAGATAATTGAAGTCAGGTGAACCTGATGTAATAAATGTTTTAATATTACTCAAACAATAATCATCACATTACCAATGCTTAGTGAAAGTACAGAACATAATGACCAATAGACGCAGACTTGGTATTCTTACCTGGGATTCTTTCATTTATCGTAGAATATTAACTTTTTTGCAGGTAAAAGTGATAAAACGAGAAGATACACAAGACAAAATAAAATAATAGGTTGTTTACTAATTACCATATAGTAAGCGAAATGATGTCATACTTCCCATCGTTAAACTTTATAGCATAAGATTAGAAATGTTTTCAAAAAAAGGATAATGAAGTTAACATTTATTGTTTGGTTATTTTAATTTTGATTTTAAAAGGCCAATTTTTTGTTCTTTTGTAACAATTAATTGCAGTGACTTAAAGTTATTTGGGAGCGCCTTTAAAACCTCAATGAGATTTTGATTGGAATTTACATTTCTGTTCATTTCTTAACAGGTATGCATCACAAAATACAGTATAATTAATTGTCTGTTCGCAGCAACTTTTCGTTTTTTAACAATTTCAAGTCCATTTTTGAGTTTTTTGAATGAGTGTAATAGGTCATTTAGAGAGACAAATGTCATCATTTGTACAATTGTGGTAGAAGTTTAAGAGTAGTGCTCAATTATGGAATGAATATATTTTGAAAATGTTCCACAAATTTTCCAAATTTTATTTAGGTCTATTTAATGCAATGGCTTGATATTTAATTACCAAATTATAGAAAATTTATTTTAAAATAATTTCCTGGTTCTAATGATGATTGATCAATGCAGACAAATCAATGATATAAAAATGCAGCCATTCTATGGATGCATAAATATCAGTGATTAATCTTTCTCTCACTTTTCCATTGTATTATGAAATTTAATGCAATAGCTTGGTTTTAATTTATTTACTTTTTCTTAGTTTATTTTTTTCAAAATTAAGAAAATCAATGCGACAGTTATTTTTTAATTAAGCATTGCTGGCTTGCTTAAAGTTTTGATGATGTAATTGGATCATTAATAGTAAACGTGAACGTTACGTTTTTCAATATTTAACGTTGCAGTTTTGCAGTATTACTAACGAACCGCATAAATTTTTGAACTTTATATTGAAATGTGGGTACAAAAGGTAAATATTGTATTATCAAGCGTAAATGATAATTGTTAAGTGATACCTGAAAGTTCCTTTTTATGAATTAGACAGCGTACAGAAGCTGATATAGTATTTTTTGCTGTTAAATCAAAATAAATCACAATCGTTCTCCATTCCATCATAACAATTTTTTCGATTGAAGCAAAAAATTCGATTTTATGATTGAAGTGGATTTCACTTCAGCACTTGAATCAATGATTCTTTCACTCAGTTGTAATGTTAGTATCAGTCCTGTAAAAAGAGTTACTGCTTGATTACTCATTACCTTTGAATAGTTGCATTTAAGTGAATGTAATTACAATTTATGAGATTTTTAATTTAAACTTTATAACCTGTAAAGAAGATAAGGAAATATGCATAAAAACCCTCGTGTATAGCCGAATAGAGACGCTGCTTCATTTGTAAGCAACGCGAAATAGCAGTAAGCACTCCGATTATGATTGAAAGACGCAGAAGTTGCCAGATCGTCCGATTCTCATTCCAAAAGCCAGAAATGCTGAAAAGGATTTCACTAATTTTTTATTTTTCAATGAAGAAAAATTTGAAAAAAAACTCACAGAAAGAATATCCATATAATGAAGACAAGAACAGTGGAGTAAATAAGACGCTCTGAATAGCTGCAAACTGATAATTGGTGCTTGAAGATGTCACCAGCTGACTTGGTGCTTAGTTCAAGATCAACTTTTTGATTCAGTGACCTGAAATTCTTCTACTTTCGTAAATAGAAGCATAACGATAACGGATAAATTGATTGAGCTACTGGCAATAGAGTTCATCTTGTTCTTAATTGGCAATACAAAAAAAAAGCATTTTAAGATGTTTACTTCACTCAAATTTGTGGCTCAATTTCGACCTAAATTTAAATGATTTCAATATCCTTTGTATTTTCTGTTTACGTACAATTCAATAACCTCACATAGTATGGACGTGACTTCATTCCAACAATTAATTTGCTGTTCATTATTCACAAATGCAGGATTACAAGAAATTACGTCTAATTTCATTGTAAAACTTACAATGAAATTAGACGAAATTTAAAGGAAGCAAAAATTGAAGAAAACTGAAACTTTCAAACTTCATTAGTGAAATATTATACCAAATGTATCCGTGGATCCAAACTGGACTGAACAAGAAATCAAATATCTGACAACTGGTAAATGAAGCAATTAAGAGTCGGAAGGAAAAATTAATACGACGTCGAATAATTGCTTCAGTCGGTGATACTTCCTCAGGTACCAAGAAATATGCCATTAATAGCCAATCTCCTAAAATGATTTTAAAATAATTACTTGATCCGTTTAAACTAATTACTTGACCTTTTGCATAAAAATTTTTCCGTCGTCACAAGGATGTGACTCGTTTAGAGAATTTTCTCAGTGTGATCATTCGTTGCAATATTATCAGAGAAATGTTTTTTTGCGGAAAGATATAGCATAGTTTAACAGTTTTCTTACAAGAAAATTTTTCAAAATTTTATTCAACCTTGTCCTTGAAATATTTCCAAATCATTTATTTAAATTCATCTTCAATAATGATAAAATTTTTAAATAAAAATATGATGGAGAATTTGAATGAACTATTAATACTAATCACCTTATTGATGGTTGAGTCCTACCTGATACCTAAGTTACCTTTCCTCACTTCATTTTAAATTTCTGAGACAGTAACTAATATATTATTGTAATTCTGTGATAGAAAGAAGAAGGAAATGGCAGTTGACAGTTCCTCTGTCACACAAATTTTCAAGGACGCCCCAGATTTTGAAGCGTTTCATTCAACATCGAATAATGATTGGTAGGTCAGAATAATTTATGTTAAAATAGTTTGATGAAGGAAAACTCAATTTCATAATTAACCCATCTATTATTGAATTGAGCTTGAAATTTTCTGTTAGAATTTTTGTGACATTGTGTTATAATATAAATTTTTCTTTCAAAAAGATTAGTTCTGCAATGTAGTAAACAATCAAAAAACTTTTTTTGCACCTATTGTTTTCTAACCTTGAACTGTTTGTTTGAACTATTTGTTATGTATTAGACATTTTTTAATTTTACACTTTAATAGGAATCAAAACTTCATTTATTTGTTAAAGGGACAAAAAGATTTCACGGAACTGAACTGAATTAGAACAAACATGAACATTATAAATTGAATAGATTTTAACTGATAAAAAGTAGTAGAAAAGTGAGAAAATTGAGATTTATCAAGTGTTTCATGCTATTAGTAAAATTTCATCCAAAATTATTTATTTCATAGTATTTATAACGCCACTTTTATTTGATTGCATCTTACCTATTTTCACAATTTGGCATATTTGTCATAAGCATTTTTTTATGCATTTGCTTATTTTAAACTTTAATAAATTAATAAGATTAATCTAATTTTTGCATTGTCCTCAATTATGCTCAATAACCAGGTAGAAGCAAAAGGTTAATTGGCAAGCCAGTGAGTAGCAAGAATATTCATTAACTTGAAAGATATTAAAAATAATTCTTCATATTAATAAACCAATCATAAAGCCATGCCTTATCATCAAAGCCATTCCTGTTGGTAAGTTATTCTTCAAGTTTCTAAAACAATAATGTAATAAATTAATGATGTAAATTACAACATATTCATAGAAGACTAATTATTTTCTGCTCTTCATCTTTGCTCTGCCAAAGTTCAATTTCACTTTCACATTATATTTTTGATGTATTGTGGAAGAGATATAGTTCATTTATTTGCCCTTTTCGAAAATATTTAATCTATTCTTATTGATATTGTAAAAAGTTTTTTCAGTAATATGTAGGAATCAAAAGTAAAAAAAAATAACTTTTAGAAAGGATAAATCCGCTTGATGCAGTAATATGTTCTTTATTTATAATAACGAAACATTAAGGAATGATAAAGTATCAAATGACGCTAATATGAGAGAGGAAGAGAAAGTATGCTCTACCTGATTTCTTCCATTCTTTTTTAATTGATTAATACTTTTAAAATGTTTATTTGCCTTTTCTATTGGCTTTATGGTCATTAATTGTTCATTTCATTTCTGATCTATAACTTGACTAAAACTTAAAGGCAAGTAAAACAAATTTATAACAAATGATTGCTAAAATTTTTGTTTATAAAATCTGGACATTATGATCTAAAGTTACAAAATGTTTTGGCAATTTCAGAACGCCTGGAATACATTTTCGTTGGAAAAATAGAGCAGCTGCTTCTTCACCCGTCTTCACAGTCTTTTCCACTCAAATCCATTTCAGACTTAGAATTTAAACAAATCTCAAGCTTTCTAATATTTTTCAACCTTTCGTTTGCTCTATACATGTATCTTTTCTCCTTTCTAACCATAAAATCTTCCTTCTCCATTACAAATTGTAGGCAAGCAACTTCCATTGTAAAAGCAACCACTTTTTATTTGCTTATCGTCGATCATCGACATTCCACTCAATGATATCTGATCGCGTTCGCTCTCTTTTTCTCCTCCCGGAAAAAACAAATTCTTGTAAGAAATCGCAAATAAATATTATATTTTAACTCGAATATACTAGTAATTCAATCTAATCGATATATCGTCATTGTGTCTTATGTATCGCTGCCCTTAAACTAACACAGATTTTCATAACTTTTCTTTTTTTTTTGCTCATATTTGTGGGATTTATTAGACAGTCACGGAATAAAAATTGTTGGAAGCGGAAATATTTTTCAGTTTGTCGTCTAAAGAGTTTGATAATGTTAATCGAGAATGCTTTAATAATTTTGAAATTTTTTGATAGCAGTGATTTCATATGGGTCTAACTCCTCATATATCAAAATTTGAAACAGCATAAGGACATGTGAAAC